AAAAATTAATACTTGCTTCTGTCGTATCCGTTATAATTGGACTCAAAATTTCTCCTTTACTAATATAATATTGTCTCTGTTATGAAACTTTACGAGATACATTATCTTTTATTTGTTTATCTTGAAATAAATATGTTCAAATTGATTATTTCAAGTCATTAAAAAATGCAAACCAAGATAAATTAAAACTTTTTTGTCTGATCTTATATGCAATTATTGATTTGAAATAGGATTCTTATTTTACTGTGAAAAATCAAATATCTTTAACAAAGACTAAAAATAGAAACGAAATATTTAGAAATTTTCTTTCAAACAATTCTTTATCAACGAATTTTCAATTGAGGATGTCATCTTATTTTTATTAACTTATATTCATTATTGTTGATATGTATTCAATTATGAAAACGAATTCACTCATGCATTTATATTATGTGTCAACTTTACAATGATTTTAATTGACAAAAATTAGTGGACATTATAATCAAACACTACTTTCTCTAACAAAGGTACATTCTTTAGTTGTCCTGATCACGTCTTTTTGTTTTGTTTAGTTGTTCAATCTCGTTAGTATAATTAACTATCAGTATTTCAATATTTAATAACAAGAGAATCTTATCGTATTGATTTTTCTAAAAACTAGTAAACTTAATGTATTCTAGATATATGTTTAACGATCTCTTTCATCATAAATCTATGCGACAATGACTAAATTAAAGTTAGGCAGAATTTATTTTTAATTAGGCGCAAAACTACGAATTAATATTTTTTTATTTCAAAATAAATTCGAATTTTTGTTTGTATTAAAATAACATAGAACGTGCCCTCTTTTCTCACTAGACAGAGTATTCATACTGTAATGTATGTGCCAATGACATCTTCTTCGTCAACATCGGAAGATGAGTCTCGAAAGTGTTTCTATCCGCAAACGAAGTAAATTTATAAATTTTTAGAGTATTAAACTCCGACAGAAGACAGTCATTATTCTACCACAGGAAATATATATGTCAAAACATGCTTCATTTTTTTCGCTAGGAACATAACTGAATAAAACTTGACAGTATCATCTATGAACCAAGTAAAATTCGACGACAATTAAACAAAACTAAACCTCAGTAGAAAACAGTGGCGAACTCTACAGATTCCTATATTTCATTAACCTTGAATTACAGTCGAACAGAACTTAACCTAGACATGTGAGATTAGTACAGGGCGACCACATTGATATTTTCGAAAACAGAAGAAATCCGCAAAAATAATGAAAAGTTCCCTAGGAGTGTTTTTGTTAAATCAAGTAGAAAAACCAGGAGATTTTCTTCTATTCTTAAAAACTAAAAGTCAGTAGAAAGTCTTGGAAAACAGCTCCTGATTCTCCTGGACAAATCAGGTTTAGTAATAATGAATTAGTTCTTTCTTCTCATCTTTTTAGACTTTTTCAAATTTTGAAATCTTTTCAAAAACTCGGTTTAGTTTTGCCTAAATCTCTACTTAGTCTGACACAACAAATCTTGATTGACAATTGGTTTCGAAAAAAAAACGAAAAACTTCTAAGGACATTTAGAATATAAAAATAAAGAAAAGTGAAATTGAATTTCGATGGATTTATCAATACATGATTAAGAACAATGAAATGATCATTCGAAGAAAAAACATGATTTAGCCGAAGAAATCACATTATCTTGTTATAATAAATATAATGTTTCCCTGTCGTGTAAAATCTTCATCAAATAAATTAATTCATTCAGCAGTTTTTTGTATTTCCTAATGAAAATAATCAAATCCACATAATTTCAATGGGTACAGATAAAAAAATGTTTAGGTGAAAAAAACAGGGCTGTGGAACACAATGTTGTTTGTTACACGATTCGCATGCTGAAGTTATTGCTAGAACAGCTTTATTAAGATTTATTTATCAAGAAATAATTAATGAAAGTAATTTAATTTTTATTTAAATAAATCAATTCATCATTATTTATTTATATTTTATGAACCTTGTCAAGAAGCCTCTTATTTATCTAATTCAATAGAAAGATAAAAATTTCAACGAAATTCTTTAAATTCAAATAGAGGACAGCATCATGTAAAGCTAGAAAAAGCTTATTCAACAGCCGGTTCCATGTACTAATAAAATAAATCGATGGATCCATCAAAGTTTTTCATTTGAATTTTATTTTTAAATATTTAAAATAGATATTAAAGGAACTCCTTTAAATCAAGTAATAATATCACCTATTGTAGGATGAATTTACTCATTTATGATTATGATATTATTTTTTTTTTCTATGGCAGACTGGAAATGCTACGAATACAATTTTATTCACCATTGGATTCAGTGGTGGATCCACAGTGAGTGAATGAGATGCAATCATCCCTCTCATTAAAGCTAATTTCATACTAATTTTAGAATTTTTTTCCTGAAACTTTATATTTTGATTGCATCAACACCCCTCTTCAAAACCTCCTGGGTCTACCCTGGCCCGATCTAAGAAAACAACTATATTTTTTCGATGAAGAACCCAGACTATATAACATAGTGTCATAGAAAGACAGACAAGAATGTATAAGCATCTTAGTATATATGTTAAAAATGCAAGTGAACACAGTTTAGGATATTGTTCTCATTTCATGCGAACGAAATGTTCAGATACAAGAACTTTGACACATTTAATTCATTTCTCACTTGTATGAGCTTTTGTCACAGAAAACGAAATAAAGTAGTTCTGATTTATCTGAAGCAGCAGTCATTGATGAAGCTTTTAACTTTAGCAAAAAGATTTCCTTGTTATTACCATGTTTTTCTATATTATTATATTCTCTCAAAAAAGTATATTTCCTTGGCACAATACCGTCTTTCGTATCGTATGTATTTCTAATAGCCCTTTATAAAATTAAAAGTGAAATTACTTATTTTCTACAGCAGCCATTGGATATGCAAGTCTTGGTGATCATTTGTTCACTTCAACTATCAATTGTTACGTCCAAACGGAATAGCATTATATTAATTCATCGATCTTTCGAAAATTTCCATAATTAAAATACAAACCTATACTGCTATTTAAGTAATTAAAACAATTATCTGCCTGTGGCATAATTACTAAAAACATAAAAGCTTTTATTAACAAACGCTATATAGTTACATATAGATTCATCATATTTTTAATAACTGTTTTAAAAGTATTTGTTCTCATTATAAAAATTATATAAATATTTCGAACAAATACTTATCTCTAATAAAACGTTAAATATTATTTGGATTTTTTTCTTATTATTATTGTTTATGACCAAGATCAAAGAAAAAAATATTTGTCCATTGTATTTAAAAATGATCTCTAATTGAATATTATTTACAAGAATATACTTTACTTATTTGATCATTGTCTACGATATCATGAAAATTGCTTCATGTGCGATGATTAATCGTGACTCATCGACGATTACCCAACAAACTTCAACACTGAGTATCATTACATGACAATAAATAATTTTTTTTTCTTGTATTGAAATCATCTGATCAATCAAGGCGAATAGTATTATTTTACTTAAAAAAAGACAAACTTTTTTGTATTATTTACTGCAGACGGTAAAAAGAAATCATCTTTTTCCTCATTCACGAGAGACATGCATAAACATGATGGTGAATGACAACGAAATCAAATGTTCTTTTGATATCGAATCAAATAATTCTTCGACTTGATTTCGACTGAATGATATACAATTTCGATTAATATCACATTCGATTTGTCAATTTGTTTCACTGTGTCACATGAGTAAACAAGAACATCATGAGAATCATTTGTATCTTTGAGTACGATGTCATACTCAGATAAGAAACTATTTTTCATCGTTCATTTTCAATTGACAACTAACATCCATCAAAAATGTTTAGAATCGGACATTCGAATTTGTTCGAGAATTGTCTTGAATTTTGATTGAAAAAACAAAGAGTCTCTTCTCAAATCGTGGTTGATTCTTTTTCCATGACAAGATCGTTTTATATCGAAGTGGACTTGATCAAAAGATAAACATTTCTTTCGAATCGAAGAAGATTAATTAGAGATTACTTGAGTCAAGACAAATTCAATCGCTATACAACGAACAGATTTCGTCAATTGACCGAAAAATCAAGTTTGAGTCGGATTTAATCGATCAACGAAAAATATTTTATTTCGAACTCATAGAAAATTTCAAAAGCTTCTCTAAATCAAATCCAATGTCACTTCAATAATTGAAATGAGATTCCAAAAAAATTTGTTCTATATTGAAACTCGATGGATTTTCTTCAAAGAACTATTGAGTCACTTTTTTTTATTCAATCATTGATAACCAAAGATGACAACAAACGAATTCAAATCAATTCGATGCTCATTTTCAGAGTTCTTTGCAATTCGATTAATCATCTCCAGTGAATGAGATCGACTCGATGATTAAATGTTGAGTCAGCGTCGATGATTCATCGTTCGCTATTCCATTGTAAAATTCAAGTAGAAAATTCTTTGACAAGAGATTGTTGTTTGTCTTTTTTCTTAATCTCACGAACATTTATATTTCATTTTCGAATTCATTGAATAATTCTTTTCTTTTGAAGTTGGATTCTTTGACCAATTCTGCACATTAATGTCATATTTCATCCAAGTTGAACTTAGTTCAATGAGTTGTTGATCATTATCAAATGCAAGTTGTCCAAATGGAAGACATGTCTCAAAAAAACACAATCGAAAACTTTTTTAGAAATGATTTCATGTATTGAAGAAGTTGATTTGTCGAAGGACAAGTTGCGAAAGATTTATTTTGTATTTATTCTGTAATGACGCAAGAATGATTCCAGCAAGAAGAAAAGAAATTCTTTCATCAGAACATTGACACTTTGACCTAAAATTCTTTTTTTTATAATCAGGGTGAAAAATGTGTCGTTGTTGCGAAATAGCTTCAATTTAAGTATAAAAACTCTATCATCGTTGATTTTACATTTTAAAGCCTTTTTCCAACAATAATCGGTGTTTACGATGGATCTCAAAAACGAAATTCTTCAAGAAATTGAACGATTGTCAGTGAAAAAACATCAAGAAGAAACAAAATCGAGTTATTGTCCAAAAAACGATCCCAGTTTTTATTCGAATCTGTTCTGGAATTCATCATCGTACGATGATGTTGAACGAATTCAACTAGAATTGATCCCTGTAGAAAATGAAGATCAACGTGATTTATTTAATTTCATTCGGCATAATATATCATCAATACCTCAATGTGAAACACCTGGTCGTGTTATGTCGGTTTTGATTCACGATAAATATTCAAAACGTTTTCTCGGTATTATTCAATTGACAACCGATCTATTGAAAAGCCAGTTCAAAGACGAATTTATCGGTTTTGATGAGAAAAAACGAGGTCAATTGAAGAAACATATTCGTGATCATTCGGCTAATTTATCGATTTGTGTTCCTGTACAACCATTCGGATTTGATTTTTGTGGTGGAAAATTATTGGCTATGCTTGCATTTTCCATAGAACTTCATCAATTCTATGAAATGAAATATTCAAAGTCTTTAGCTTTGATCACAACAACATCGATTCATGGAAAATCTATTCAATATGATCGACTCAAACAATTGAAATTCATTGGCTATACAAAAGGATATGGAACTAGTCATATTCCAGTCTCCTTTATGGATAAAGCATATCGTTTTTTAGAAGAAAATTATCCAAAATTCAACGTTAAAAAACAATCAAAATGGCAATCATTACGATTTCTAGCGCAACAATTGCATATCGATAGTAATCAACTTTTCTATCACGGTGATCAACGTGGCATTTATTGTGGTTGGACTGGTAGCAACACCAAAGAATTTCTTTTGAAAAAACAAACAGATTTGAACAGAGATAAACTCCAATCAGTCGAAACAATAACTGAATTCTGGAAAGAAAGATGGGCTAAACAGCGTGCAACTCATTTGAAGAATCAGAACACCTGAAAACACTTTCAAACAAAATCAACTCAATCTGAATATTTAACATGACCAAGTAACAGACGAGCATCGTCATTCAACAACGACTATTCGAATGTTTATGGAAAGAATTTCTCTAATAATTGAATCATTTCAATTTACTGCCAAAGTCGTCGAATAATGATGAAAAGTACTTTTCGTTATTGTTCTTGGCATGAACAATAATAAAAACGAGTGAAAAATGAACTCAACAAACCATATATGTATTTTCATGATCAATAATCGTTTCAATAAAGCAATCAAAGATAGTTCGCTACTCACAATTGTATCTGTTTTCACATATAGAGAAATAAAAATGCACCAATTCCGATTTTATAGATTCCGAATAAGCCGGATTTGATCGGGCTTCTTTAGGATGTCTGAATCAAGAGAATATTCATTCTCATATCCACAACCCCACATCAATATCCATTATGAAGCATTGTTTCTATCAACTGCTAGTGTATGTTTATAAATATTGGTTGGTAATTGACTCAAAAGTGAGAATGTATTGTTGAACGATGTTCAACTTTTGGATTTTTCATCAGTATCTTTAGGATTGTGTAGAAAGTGTTGTCATTTCACTACTCTAGTCCATAGATATAATACCGTGCGAATTATCTACAGACAACAATTTCAATGCATTCGCAGCACTTCTTGGTGTTTTTATATAAAATCCGTCCTGAAACTTTTTGAACGAGATGGTCTCAGAGACAGAAAGTTCGAGAACGCCTGTTTTTATCAGTACATTGTCTTCGGGTGAGCCACTAATAATAGAGTAGTTTGACGCATCTAATGATTGATAATTCGAGATCAAACAGATTGGAGCATGATTCAAACCATCTGATGAGTTCTCTAGGAGGTATGAAATCGTGATCGTGGTAGCTATATCTCGCTCTCAACTAGATTATCTAGTTGATCATTAGAAAAACATTTGATTCTTCTTCATAGAATCAATTTATAATTGAAAAAACATGATGTAATGATAAAATTCACAAATTTAATAATAAAAGTTCGACCTAATAAATGTCGTCTCGAATGTAGTCTGACGTTAACCTCTACTTCTTTCTCTATTCAGACTCGGTATGTTGCAAGCTACTCTGAAGGTCTCTGTATTGTTCTTGTTTTCTCTTTTAGTTCAAGTCATTAGCCGGCTTAATACACACAATATCACTAAAATTACCATAATAAATACCATCCCAACCGCTCTTCTTGTGCACCATTTCATATCTTACGCGTGAACGAAATACTTTTGCATCTCTGTCTGTTTTTCGCATGTTCTTCTCCAAAAATGAGAGAATCATCACATATAATTTAACCACTATTTTTATTGAACTTCTATAATTATATAGTGTACGATACTTTCAAGCGATTAGAACTATCTAATTTTACGACAACTATATCAGTCTCTCCGGATTCTTTTGTGAAACCTGGCGAGTAAATGTAAGTTGCAGTATATGTGAAAAAAACAAGACCAGCACCTGTTCTTGCAGACAATGACACACATTTCTCAATGTCAGTCTATTTAACCTTCAAGGATCCATAATGCTCATTTCTTTTTATCCAATATTGTATCTCGCTCAACATCTCATGGATTCTTTTTCAAATGAAATCACTGAATAATATTGACGATGTATATCGATTGTTAAGCAAGTATCAGATGACGGTCAATATTAGTATCGTATACAATATAACGCCTCATAACGTGTATGAACCTAGAGAAAATTTTGATTTGCGATGAAAGATTAAAAATTCTTACAGAATTATCGATGAGACCTAGGCTAATTCATGGAAATGAAACGTTTAGTATCTTTTCCAGTATTTGTCAAAAAACAAGTGTATTTCATTTACAGAGCTCAGCAATTCATGGAAATAAAGGTAAATTTATAATTATCTTCTTTTTTTCTTTTCTGTATAGACCAGTGAATAATCAAAAATATTGATAATCATGAACATTACTTTGAAGAAACGACAGGGTTTTGCTAAGAATAATCCATGTAACAATCGTCAATTTTCGTTTCAGGCTCCGCCGTCTGTTTTGAGAAAACGCTTCGCTCATGATTTTGATAGAATGAGATGAGTTTTCGAAAAATAGGCAAAATGAATGCCATCAATGCATCAATAACAGTTACTTATCAAAGTGTGTCGAATAGCATATGTATAATTGATCTTAAAATCAATCTAGCTGTAATTTATTAACTGCCATTGATTATTCAATTTTTTTATGGATTTATTCGTAAATGACTGGATAAAATTTATATTTTGTGACATGTAATTCTCTACACAAAATCAGCTCAAACAAGCACTGATCAATTATTTACGAGTGTAAGGTCCGATAGTAGTCGTGTCATCCATAATAGCGAGACTCATCACCGGCTTATGTCGACCATCGCGTGACTCAACTCCGTGAAAACCACCAGCTACGTAGCACATTTTCGATTGATTGATCTTTTCATTTTCAACCTTGACAGGTACAACAAGAGAATTGAGTCTAATCAATTGAATATCGCACTTCTTCTGCTCATGGAATCCGTAGCAAAGGCGAAGAAACCACCCGGTCACATTCGTTCCAGTCGGACTGTAAAAAAAATCAAATCGTCGTTTTTATTTGCTAGACAAATAAAATAAATCTTTCGAAGTTTGAGAAATTACAGAGCTATCCAGATTAGATTATTGCTATTTTTCGGAAAAAATTATTCCACTTTCATTTTTTTAAAGGATTATTGAAGATCTAGATATACAATATAAATTACCTTCCTGAACGTCCCCCACCCCAATGATTTATGTCCATAACCTTGTTCCAGAATTTGTTATCTACATTACCCTGATAAGTCTGAATGAACTGATCAATGATGGGCAACAATCCTTCAATATAAGTAACAAAACTATCATTTCTGGATGTTGTAAAATTTTGTAGTTGTTCAGTCTTATGACGCAACAATTTCCAGTCATCTAGCGTACCCATGAAGTGAACATTACGAATACCACATTTTGTTATTATACATTGATATTCAAAGTATTGTTTGAATGTATCCATAATAGTTACACATGAAAGTAATGATTCAACTTTGGTTGTGGTCGAAAAATTCGAGGCGAGTATGTCGATAACATCACTTTTCACATTGTCACGCATTAATAGACGCATGTCTTCAAGAAAATCGTCCCAACTATGCAAAAAAAGAAAAATAATTCCTTCAAAAAAATGATGTAAACAAATATGTACTTAGGTTCAACAATGTCCGTTTGGTAAATTGTCAATGTTTTCTTGCCTTCATGGTCAACAAATATTGTGCGTAATTTTTCACTATTCTCATTGACGTATTTGGAAAAATAGATACAAATCATAAGCCAAATATCATCAGGAGATAAAACAATATCTTCATGCGAATTATAGGCTCTAAGAAACGCTCTGAACACAGGATGATCTAAGCATAAGTATGTGTCTAAAAATGACCGAAATCTTTGGAGTTGATTCAAAAATATTTGAATATTTTCCTACACTCTCCATTGGCTAACATGTGTTGAACTTTGTAGCGTTTTGGCTGGGCATCCTTGTCAACGATACGCACCCAATAATTGGCATCCGGCAAATTTTTAGACTGTTCGTGCTGATTGTAATCTTTATCGACTTTCGGAAGACTGTCACAAATAGACACTGTGTGGTAACTTGTAGGTACATCCCCATTGAGCGTAGAAGTAACAGAAATTACGCTTTTATTAGCACGCGCCTGGAATCTACTAGAAATTCCACCCATTATATTAATAAAAAGACGCTAAACGTTCGATGAAATTTTTGTAAACTTCTTAAACAGACGAAAACCCATGACAGTAATAAATAGGACCAGCTCGATATCATGTTTCATACATAGTTCATTATCAGTTTGTCGATAAGAATGCTGAATCATCGATATTGGCAGAAGGAAAGCAAAATTAGCAAATTTATAACTGAAACTAACTGAGTCACATATGTATGTGCTTGTTTAAATCTATCTAATTCTTTTTGTTTTTCTTATTGTTGTTTTTTGCTCTCGGGTGATTTAATGCCCTATTTACTCTTAATATTTTTTAAGGTCTAATGTGTCGGCTTGGATGTGAATGTGATTGCAAGCCTTTTCTTTACTCATACTCACACTCATGTCGACTTGCATACACGCATACCCCGCACAACTTGATTAGCTTCACAGATAGATTTGCTCACTTTTTTTCTGCTGTCATATCAATGATTCAGTATATTTTTTTTAGCAAACTGATAATGAAATATGTGTGAAACATGACGTTGAGTTAGCCTTTTTTTTTTATTATTACTGTCATTGTTTTTTCATCTCTTTAAGAAATTTACAATGGCTTTATCAGACATTTGTATCTCTTCATTAATAAATTGTGTGGAGTTTCCAGCAGATTTTAAAAACATGCTAATACAAGCATGATTTCTGCTATTCCTACGCTAAATGAAAGTGTTTTTCAAATCTACTATAAATTCCACCCGTTGTATTACTAAAAAAAGACACTAAACGTTTAATAAAACCCTTGTGAATTTCTTCAAGAGATGAAAAACCATGACAGTAATTAAAAAAAAAGGCTAACTCAATATCATGTTTCACATATATTTTCCTTATCAGTTTGTCGATAACAATGCTGAATCATCGATACTAAAAAAAAGAAAGCAAAGCAAATACATCTCTATCAGTGAAGCTAATCGAGTTGTATTTTGTGTATGTATACAAATTGGTATGATTGTGAGTGTAGGTAAAGAGAAGACTTGCATCCATACCCAAGTCAAAAAATTAGACATGAATCAATTCATTTAATTGACATTACAAGTTTATTAATCTAGAATATTTTTATACAATCATTAGATGAAAATAGTCACAAAGAATATTAAGAGCAAATAAGATATTATATTACCCGAGGTCAAAAGGCAACAATAAGAAATAAAACAATTGGACAGATTTTAACAAACAAATATACACAGCTACCTGAAAAACAATAAAAAAACATGTTTTCATTTATTAATCTTATTTGTTACAGTCTTTTTTTGCTAGAATAATATTGCATTGTGCATCTTTGATTTTAATTTTTCCATCTGTATAATGTCCTTTTTGTTCACCAGTATTAGATTCTGTTAAAATAGAACCATTTGGACATAGAATTTGTCTAGATAGATCAGATTTAATACGTTCATCATTATGATGAATTTCTTCAATTATTGAATCGTTTGTTGATATTGATATGTTTTCTTTAAATGCTATGTTTTTTGTTGTTGTTGATGATTATGTAGACGTTGTCATGTTTAATAATGATTCATAGTCAAGAGTAGCACGATAATTTGACTCATCATTGCCGATGAACGGTTTAAAATAATGAAAATTGGTCATAGCCGATAATAACCTAAACAGAACAACAAAAAACAATAACTTTATGTCACCGCCTGAATTCATAAAAAATTCATTTCTGTCTTATAGTACCTTCAAAAAAGTATATTGGCAGTAGATTGTCAGCCAGAGAATAACTATTGGTATACTGTAATAGAAGAGTGTTTCGAAGATAGCCGATCATTTAAGTATCAAACTATTACCGGTCGTGATTTTCGGTATACGAGGGATTTTTGTTCAGTTTGAATCACATGGCCAGTGTCGTCCTATTCTGTAAGACAAGGCTAGACAGGATCGTCGTGTCCTATGCTCATCTCTGAACTATATAAAATACGATTGCTTGTAGTTAACAAGAAGATCAAACCTTCTGTTTCCTTCTATTGAACTGTTATACGAGCAGAAGTAAATGGTTCATAGATATTAAAAATAGTAGCAAACTTCTACTCTTAAATATTGTAATATATTTCTTTCAGAACTATTTTTCATGACAATATATGGTGGCTATCAAATGAATCGTATCTACAGATGTGCGACCTCAGGTTTTTTGGTCCCGGTTTAGAAGAAAACTATTTCAGAATTTATTGACATCAAGTCTAAAAACATTTGTCGATACTTGTTCGTTTTTAATTTACTTAATCAAAAACTAGCACTGTATTGAATTATCTCTCTCGAATTATGTTCTGATTGATATGATTTATAAGATAATTCGCTTAAAACTATAGAATACTTAGCTGTAATCTACAATTCCGCTTATGGCAACTTTTTTTCTCGTAGTGGCAAGCCTAATATATCGTAAAATATTGATTTTACACATCTCTAGTTTTGTTACATATTTAGGATAGTGAACATGCCAAAGATCAATACATATTCATGATCATTGAACCATATTTTCAATCTTACTGCTAGATAAGATAGAATCAATATTGTCATCTGTATATTTTCTCTCGTCTACTTATGGTGATAAATGTTCATTATTTCCACCATTTCCTGAATCAATTTTTTCTGATGGAATAATTGGGTGTGGGTGTAATGGTATTGATGCTGATTCCATTGTTAATTCAACATCAACACTTGTTGTTGGCGTTCATCGTTTATTTGATGTTATTTTTATTTCAATTGACGTTTCAAAATTCCTTACAATCATGGTTTTTGATAATGATGGAGTTTTTGATTGTTGCTGTTGTCGTTGTTTAGACACTGTTGTAATTGATGCATAAGATCTAGTTGTTTACGTTCAATGATATCTTTTCTTGTTTTAATTCAGCATTTTCATATTCTAATGTTCCAATATGTTCTTTTAAACGGTTGATAGTTGTTGACCGACCTGTTTCACATTATTTTAAATTTTCGTGTAAAGTTGAAAAACTATCGAAAATACAAAAAACCATCAGTACAATCGATTAAATCTTTTTTTACTTGTTTTTTAATATTTCAATTTCTTGACATTCACGTTTATCGGGATGATCGCGTAATTGTTGTTAATACTGTTCAAATAAATGTGTATCACATATTTCTATTTTTTTATTTCATAGTTTTTTATCTGATTAAATTTTTCAATTCTATTTTGTTTCGTTTTTTCAAATTCACCACGATGTTGTTTTATTTTTTATAGCTAAATTACGTAGATTACAAAGTAATTGTAATTTTGCGTTTTCTTTTTCAAATAGTTCAATTTGCTTTTCTATTTCTTTAACTTTTTCACGTACTAAACGGCTATAATCTTTGTTCAATTCAAAGATCGATGGCGGAGAAGGAGAAGCAGGTCTTGATGTTAGTACTGTATGTCGTAAACCTGGAAATTTATCAAACATTAATGAATTAACAGATGAAGGATTAACACGATTCACCCATGAATGATCATCATCAAAACTAGATGAAGGTACTGAATCTTTCTTTTGTGGGCATTAAGATTGTTTAGGAAAATCAGTTTTAAATGTACTAATACTACTGTCGCTATTATAATCATTCGTACCAACGAGGATGATTTTAGCTACTTCAATATTATCGTCATTATTATTATCGCTTGTTATGATAGTGGTTGCTGTTATTTGTTTAGTATGAGTATCAACCATATTTTAAATGTTATAATTATTCGGTGTTGAATATGATTTGTTTCTTCATGTTCGGTATCATTGTCTTCTTTGTGATAATGAATTGCACCATTATTAACTGTATCCACTGTTTTCGACTGTTGATCATTCTGGGAACACAAGGAGATAGTTTTATTCTATCTATTTTGCGATATATTTCTTCAGTATCCTTTTACTTACCGCTAGTGCTTCATAAATACAATGACAAAGTAATTCATATATCAGAGGATGCTGTGATTGATATACAGTCTTTGGTCATACATCAACAGCGTCTGCCAGTCTGCTGACAGATGAGAGAGAAAGAAGGCTCATGTTTCTACCATTGTACTTCAATGCTCATTTTAGATCGTGTTTCACAAAAAGTTCTTGCATTAAAACCTACTTTATCAACATAAGATGCTGTATCGATCCTTGATGAATGTTCTTCGGCATGCTGTTCAAAACTTTCACAATCATCTAAATCCTATATAGTTAATCAATAAAAAAAGAAATGAATAATCACTTACTTTCATACTTTTTTTGATTGAATAGCACTAATAAGACGTATTGTACATTGACGATTAGTAGAAAATAACTATCATCATCATCAATTTGTATGTCTGCATGATGATGAAATAATGTTAATGCATTCCATTTTGAATCGATCATTGTTTGAATATTGAAATTAAACTTATTCGGTATTGATGGAAATTCATATTTATCATCTAGATCAACTTGACCTAATAGATTACTTTGAGTAGATATTAGGAGTAGTTTGTTTGTTGAATTTATATTATTTATTTGTTTAATTGGTTTTGTTTTTAATGATGAGCACGTTGTTGTCAATGCTTGTCGACTTGATATCATGGATACTGCTGCTGATGAATTCACAAGAAAAAATCTAACTCCTTAATGAAAGTCCTACACCTAATTGATTGCTTTTAAGTGAAGAATATGTGCATCATGTAGACTCAAATTACCTATGGATATCTTGAAAAAACTTCGGATCTTTAGTTTATTTTGCTGCAAAGATACTGTATTTTCACAATGTTTTCCAAGTCAATGTCGTAATCTCTCTCAGGAAAGCTTATTCGTGGTTTTTATTCGTAACTTTGCTAAAAAAAAAACAAACCTTAACAAGAATAGTTTATTGTGAAAGTTCCAAATATTATCGTTGTTTCTATCGTAAGATCAAGCTATGATAGAAGCATGTCTTGTACGTCGCTTATTTACACTGGCAGAGTTAGTGCACTTATTTCAAGATAGAAGCGAATCCAAAGATCTGAAACTTTCACAATAAATTAATCTTGTTACGATCTGTCTCTTTGGACAATATCTTCGCAGGTATAAACTAAGGATCCAAACTCTTCTCAAGGTACTCATCGCACTTTGACATCTATACTTTGCACATAGTCTCGACTCAAAAGAAATCAATCATTTGGAGTACTTCCCTCGTCATTCAAAAAATTGAAATAAGCCTCCCACGAGCATAGATCAATTCGGTATTTTTTAACTTTTTGCAACGCCATTAAGTATATATATATGTGAACGATAACAAAAATTTTTCGTATCAAATATTCAATTGCTGTTCCGATATCTACGATAAATAAACTTTCAGATTGATATAAAAGTAGTTTTTACATGTCTTATAATTCAAGAGAATTAAACTTTTATAAAGCGATACAGACAGGTGCTCGTAGGTTACTAAAGGATTAATAGAATATGTAAAATTACTCAGATGAATCTTTCAATAAGTCCTAAAATGATTTTAAAATATATTGGTTAAATTACAATAGAGTTACATTGATGTGAACTGTTCTCTTCACTCTCACACACCCATACCCAGACGCTCCCGCCCGGTTTACACTTCACACACACGCCCAAACTCTTCCACGCCCCACACAATAAAACACATTCAAATCAATTCATACCTCCGCATCCACCTCACCCCATCAACTGCTGATACTTTAACCTTCCATAGTCTCCAATACGAGTGTAACAATCTGCTACGTAGCAGTTTGATCGTGTCATACCATATTATCATTGTTTACCCCAGAAAGTCAGCGAGAACCTCGGATTGTGCCTTCAACAACTCTCCATGATTTTGAGTGCGAGTGTGGATGTATGTATGAAGCTGTTCTCTTAACACACACTTACACTCTCCAAAGCTCAATCATTGAGAAACTCAAATGTTGGCGCTGAACTGTTGCAGGTTAAACTATTGCGCCACCACAGAAAGTGCATGGTTTAAGTGTCACCAACTTTTCCGCTCTGTTGTCATTCCAAGTCATTGCTTAGTCCCATTGGCTCTTAACGTCTAGAGTTAACAGTTACTGTTGTTTCTTGATCGTTCCGTTTTATTCGCTTTCGCTGCTGTCGGTTTAGAATGTCCTAATGATTTTGAAGAACAGAATTGCTGATAGTGAGGAACAGTATCAAATTTATTTTGAGATCGTTAAAAGAAATTATTCGAAAAATAACAAGAAATGAGTTGGCCACTCGATAGTGGTCTATGAGTATTCGGTGATGTTTTATATTGATTTAGCTAATGGCATTCTCCAATTATTATTCTTCTGGTTGATCTAGAGTGAGAAAGATGACTAAAGACAAGTACTGGCTGATTTCATGACTTTCTTTTCATGTCAGATGGCACAAATTTGTAAAAATAGATTTTTGTATGTTACCTCATGTCGGATTCTTCTATTCCAAGATAGATTGTCAAAAAAATAACTATTCAACACCTACACACAGTAACTTTTAGCAGAGATTAATGAAATAAAGATCCGTAATTCAGGCCATTTCTGTATATCAATTAGTATTCCTCATTTTAATCAAGCAGTATTAATTTTACTCTGAATCCAATTGAGATATGCACTCGTACGAGTGTAAATACCCGGGTATTTTGCAGAACCACAACCGTCTCCGAAACTAACCACACCGGAAAGGTACCAGTAATTATTTACATTGTACATCAATGGGCCACCACTGTCACCTTGACAACTATCCTTTCCGCCAATGTTTGGAATACCGGCACCGATCTGTCGTTGCACATCGAATACATTCCCATAAGCTTTTTCTGCTTGAGTATTCATCACACTGACAGAGACCTGACGAAGTGAAGGAGCGCTGCTCCCACCTGATGATAGAAGACCCCAGCCAGCCACTGTAACGCGTTGAGATTCCTGAGGATTAGGTCCGGGTAAACAAATCGCATTGACATAGTCATTGAATTGTGCTGGTTGTGCGAGACGAACCAGTGCAATATCGTTGGCTTCAGTTTTTGAATTATATTGTTCGTGGAGGAAGACGCGCAAAACACCGAGATTTTGCGAGCGCGGTCCATTAACATTGGTTCGCTGATGTAAGCCAGCAATGACTCGAAAATTTGTCGAGTCTATGCAATGCGCGGCCGTGAGTACGTGCCGATTATCAATTAGTGTGCCACCACAGAAATGATCACGTGATTGCAAAGAAACAATCCAAGGCCAAGAATGAGCAATGGCTTCAACACCACCAACAATGCGCTGAGATGATGGAGTAATTGCTTGACGACCGCAGGTTCTTATTGTCGCCGGTTTTATCGTAGTAATCACTGGTGGCATGGTAGCTGTCGTGGGTTTTCCAATACTGTTTCTGGAACAGCAATAGCGAACCTTGTAATCAGCGCACAATTTCGTTTTGAAATTGACGACTATTTGATTCAAACACAAGAAACCGTCCGTTTTACTGAGTCGAAAGACATCACCAGTTTTTGTTGGATCACCATCTGATAATGTTCGAACCTAGAAGAAAAACTTTCACAGTAATCCCTACGGGTTAAAATATGAATCATGATAGAACTATTTCACTCGAAAATGGCAGCCCTATATACCATCTATCATATTATGCTCGAGCATCAGATATACTATCATTCTATCATTCTGTCACAGTCTATACAATAGACCGACAGCAGGAAGAGGAAACGACTATTCCCTTTTCTAGCTATATACTTCAACACTTGTTCTAAGTTCTGTTTCACAAAAAGTTGAAGCTTGTGCACATGTAAAATTGAATTTACTTCGATGGCAATCGGATCAAGACACATGAACCTTGGAAATAGTTGTTGAATATGATTGGTCACTTCGAATTCACCTTGTGACAAATTTGGATCAGATGTATCAAACCAGATTGTCCATTCGTTGTCGCTCGTACAACTGTTCTGGATAAACGATGGTGGATCGAACATGGTTTGACTCACAACACATCTGAGCGAAACAAGTAGAAAGATCGCTAGAGCAAACATGATATTTTGCCTAAGGAAAAACTGCAATGCTCGTGACTTGAAAATTAATGGCACCAAGTGTGAAATTTCGGACTTTTATAAAAATCTCACTAAGCTTCTCAATAAAACAGATGCTTCATATTTTTTTAATCATCGACGAAATTTGATCCAATGGTTAAAACTAAATATTTTCTTTTTCTTTCGAACTATGATATCAATCAGCCGATAAACAGTGCAAGAGTCAATCCAAAATAAATTGATGTTTCGAATGGAAGTGCATTGTCAGCTTTGAGTAAAAAGTGTCTGTGTCGGTAATAGCAACGTCCCATTAAATTTCAGTTTCAATTTTATAAGAAAACGTGAATTTGAGGCGATCTTTGTTTTCTGAATTTCGTTTAACTGTTATCCATAGTATCTTACCGAAAGAATATCATGGTGATGATAATAAGCAGATTTGCTTGAATCAAATAAGTCTTCATTGCCTATTGCAAAACTGTAACTACCCTCACCCACACCCTCTATATTCGAGTTTTTTTCACTGATATTGATCATTTTTTGTGTACATGACCGAACAAACGATCAAGATTTTAACTATGTAATGCCTCTTCTTAGAAAATAGTCATTCTGAAATTGAACCGTAGCCGACATGCTATATTTGGGTAGGTTGACTTCAGCTCTTTTCTATTAAGATTCGAAGCTGAATACAAACCGAATCTGTAATTAAAGTTGGATACAAACTCGAACTCGGTCAGGTCAGACACGACTCGCAGTTCTCGAATAAAAATAGATTAATGCATCAGGGTCAGAACATTTAAAACATGGATCATGTATGGCTATCGAACGATCCAGCTTGGTCTGACCGTTAAGAAAACGCCCTATCAGTGGCAAGTCTGGAACGAGAAATTGGTATGTTGTGAAAGTGGAGGTCGATTGAAGCTTAAGAGACTTGATGATACGATAGCATCAAACCATATTTGATTATTTGGTGGCATAGAACAAAGGTCAAAAAGAGAAATTAATGTAATTCCGGTTCGATTTCAGACTATGGCTATGGATGAAAAGAAGTCATACGCCCACACACTACAATAAGAATGCGCGATGACTTGTTTTCACAAGCAAAATAAGTTCACACAAAAACTGACATTGTGTTTATTCGTCCTGTTCTGTTTGCTTTTGTCGTGAATGTCGACATTGGTGCTTGCTGCCTTGCGTCATTTAAACGAAAGAGAGAGAACGGGAGATAAGAAAAACAAAAAGAATAAATAAGGTTAGCAGCTTCACTTGTGAGGCTCCAAGGTCAACAGTAAGATATGGCAGACTCACTATTCAACCAGCAGGAACATGCGAATAAATACCGTCTCTATCGGCCAGCTTATCCAACGGAGCTTTATAATTGCATTCGGAAGTTTTATTTCGACGATCAAGTGAAGCAAAGAAAAATTCCTCTGGCACTTGATGTAGCTTGTGGCAGTGGGCAAGCAACTGTGGATATAAGCAAGTAAGTTTTTGTTTCGGATATACCAGGTCTGTCAAAATAATTATGTCAATTATTATCTTATTGATTATTGGGTCGCGAAAATCGATTGCTAATTGATTATAATCTGATTATTCAGTATAAAAAGAAAAATTTATTTTGATCTTAATCAATTACAATAGATCTATTTTAGAAACTGATTTTAATCGACTGAAGCAGATTAATATAGAATAAATTTGCTTTTTTTATTCTGGATTATTCGATTATAATCGTGCCATTATAATCGATTAAAAGTCAATTTGACGATATCTTACCTCCTACCCTCATTTTTCCAGAGCTTCCTGAAATTTGACCACTGAAATATCACTAACGGACACTCGGTATAAGGATAATGGAAAGATGCTAATTTTAACTTTTTGATATTTATCGAAAGTTTTTAAAAATAACATTTAGTTGAAATTGTTGCTACAAGTTGGAGCCTTGGTCTTACTAGTTTTGATGAATATATTACGGTAAACGAGAGGCAATGTTGTTACAACAAACTTGAATCAAGAAAACTTCGTTTTTAGGAGAAATTTCAAAGAGTTTCAGATAAGAAGCAACCTGCCAAAATACGTTTACCATGAGATTGCTTATGAAGTTCTCAACAACTTGGTTCCGGCGAGGGTTTTTTACTGGATACATTGTTACTTTTCTACAGCGGTTTTACTTGAACTCTTCACACTGCTAATCACAGTTAGTTTTTGACGGATTTTATTGGAGAAATAATAAGCTAGATATATACAAAATATCGTTTTTTCTCTGGGAATGAGGTCTTTACGAGAAAAAATGTAGCATTCACGGATGTTCTCGTACATATTTTCATCGATCTGGTAGTAACTTTTTAATGATAGTTTCAACCAAATCTGATGGTCGTCGTTTGTTTCTTTTCTCAGAATATTGCTCTGTTGGTTTAGTAGAATCTTTCCATAATGATTTATAATCTTTTGAGAGCTTTCCACGCGTTTTAAGACATCTATTTAGAGGAAACAATGTTTTTTAGAAAACGAAAATACGCAGGCGATCAGATTTAGCCGACGTTACTATTTAAAATGCTCATCTCGATTGGTCGAAATACCTGTGAGAAAATCCAGAAAAATTTTAGGAGACTTTTACTTCCTGAGACCCTATTATCTCCTAACCATGTGAACATTTTTCTCTTCATAAACTATTCTCAAGATGCTTGTACGCAGTTATTCGGAGTTGCAATGTTAACGCATCGCACTTTCAGGCTGTTGTAAACCACCTGAAAAGAATAAACTGCGTCCAAGCAGTTGAAATTCTAGGAATAAAAGTGCTTACAAACGTTTGACGATATGCCCTGTATAGTATTTAAATCTTGAAATTTCAATCTTTGCGCTTAAAGCTTTAAATGGGTAAAAGTAAGCATCCTGTAAGTGTAACTTGCCAATTGAGCTGACATTTTGTCGATAGATAAGTCTCGTGGACATTCGGGTACCTTGAAAATTTTTTTGATTGATCTTGGATATTCAGTATCTAAAGAATGACAGCTCTTTTAATGCTGAAATTTCTAGAGCATTCTAATGTCCATGAGACTTAACTACGGACATAATTTGAAGTTGAAATTCCATGATTCGATGTTTTACAACTACTGTGTCAAAAGTAAAAATGTCAATCAAATTGAAATAACTTTGGAAGGATTGAGCATGCGGACGAATCCTTATAGACAAAACATCAATTCAATTCGTGAGTTATATATGGAAACCTTCTTCATAAGTCAATGACAACATTTGATCTATTACTCGAGAACCGTCTGGCCTGAAAGATGCAATTTTTTCAGATGAACTGTTCTCAAGGAAGCCAGAAAAGGCATGGTTGGAGGTGCTACGTTGAAGAAAAAAAGAAAACCAGTTCAAAAATAATTCAATAATCCACAGATTTCCAAGAGAAGAAATTTCGAAAACTTGAGTAATTTCAGTGTTTTTGAAAATCTTCACAAACCTCAAGCAGTCAAAGCACCTTATAGAAATCAAGATTTGCGCATTTCATATACAATTTTTCACACAGGCCAGATGTTGAACTAAGTGACTAAAGCGAAAACAATATTACCTATTTTTGTTCTAAAAGCAAGAGTTAGTGTGACATTTCTGACATTTAGCTAGCAGTTAAATACCATATGATGATCTTCTCTGTTGTTCTGACATTGTCACAAGACGAAAAGCCGTTAGTTTTCTTTCTGCGTTGTCACGTTTTTCGCTTCGAGCAGAAACACACTAAATTTCGGCAAATGCCTAGGAACAAAATGTACGAATCTTGACTTAAACGTTAAGAAAATGACGACTTTTATTTATTTTTAGTTGTCTAGGTCGTTATACTTACCTAATGTCGCAACAGTGACGAAGATGCGAAATAACTCTAGTCGCTACGACTCATATTCACAATTTTGGAAGTTTTTGCATTTTTAAGTTGTCATGAAAGTATTTAAAAATTTTCAGAAAAAATTATCACGTTCTTCTTCAAATATTGACCTTTAAAAGTGGCGCCTTTTTATTAGCACATCATTGAAAAATCGACATTGATTGAGATTTTCCATGTGTCACGAATAGAACATAAATTTATGCTAAAAAAAATCGGGATAACTATATAACAACTAGGTCTGCCTATCATCAAAATTTCCGTACGAAATTTCGTTATTTGATTTTCCTCACGGCTATTAAGCATAAGGTTAAAACCCGATAAATCAATCTTAACTCGAAAGATGAAGATCGGAAACGCAAACCTTTTGGTGCTCATATTGGTCTCACTGAGGCCTACCTGTGGATAAATATAATACTATATGGGAAGTTTTACCTGACGAAGTCTCATTG